CTGACCTGTTTTGGAGCCAGGGAAGCTTCTCACATCTCCATACAGGGGCTATCTCTGCAGCCCCTCCCGTGCTACCAAAACCCCGCCACATAAAACCAGCACACCTGGCTTAATACTCCAAATACAAGTAAGATAAACTAATCAACAGTTACATGGTCAACACGGGAACACAGCACATAAACTACGAATTCCAGTAAAAGCATTTTAAAAGTAATCTGCTAAGCCAGTTCATATTGAAAAAACAGCAAAGATACTTATTTTGGTCCAGAAATCAATACTCGTGATTTAGGCTGTTTGTAGTTGTAAAGACTTTTGTTTTGTTGTTCCACCAGCCTGCTACCACACCATCAACTATGAATTAATATTTTATGGAATAATTTTCTCCTTAAATCCAGTAGTCTTTCTTGCCAAGTGAATGCAATTGCAATGTTTCCCTTGTGGTTTTAAAAAGTTAGGCTAATCTTCCTAGTATGTAACAAATTTTACTGTGTGACCTCCATGGCATTGACTTTTATTAAACACAGTTCAACAGGGCAAGAACCACACCTAAACTAGTTTAACACTGTTTTAACTGCTACTCTTGTTTTAGTAACTTTAGTCTCTCTAGTGATATTTTTCAAGATGTGGATGAACAATGAAAGTTAATTACGGAGGAAAAAAACAGTGTTTAATTTCACAGTAAAAACTCATGCCAGTGTACTAGTCCTCCTGCTTAGTCTCCAAGACAAGAAAGAGATGTACACTAAAATAAGATTATCCTTAGCTTTTCTCACCTTTTTACCTTGAAACACTAACAGCTAAACATCACACTCAAGGAGGTACGCACGAATATATACTCTGAACCATCTAGAACATGCTGCACAATTACAATTGGATTGTTCACCTCTTTAAAAATAAATAAAAAATAAACAGGGTGTCTTCCTCCTCCTTCCTTCTCCCAAACCCCACAAAAAAGTCAAAATGAAGATAAAAAGGCAAGATGAAGAGAGAGGAAATAATTTATTAGCGATTTCACAAGCAAACTAACATACGTTTGTCATATAAGCCTTGTGACAGTTTAAAGATATCTGGAATCTTTAAGGTGAGAAAATTTATACTCTGCCTTAAACGCTTTAGAAATGCTACTACGCACAGTTCAAGGGTCCTGATGATTACACTGCTTCTTCTCCCAGCTTGATAATACTTGAAAGAGATGGAACACAAAAGGGACCTGGAACATCACAAAGGCATATTAAAAGTAAGAACAACCAGAAAACAGATGTCTTTTGACAACTAAATTGAAAGATGCTTAGTACTTAAACAAGTGTAGATCGTCTGAAAAAAAATTGACTTAATAGATACAGACTGTATTAATTTTATATTACACTAAGTTAAACAATAATGTAATATGAAATCCACAAGAAAAATAAGTCACTGGCAACAACACTACCTCAGTGCAGAAAACAAAAAAAAACCCCACAACTAAAAAGTAGCAGTGATTAGTAGTTGATTAATAGTTCAATTCCAAGTACTTCATTGAGAGATATTGTTTGATTTGCTTCTCTAGTCAAAAAAAGAAAAGTAAGGAATGTACAAACTAAGTCAACTACAGATTGTTTCTCATATACCAGGACAACAGAAATCATCAAATGATCTAAAAAAATATTTTAAAAGGTCGACCCTTTAATATTATTATGAATTGCTCTGCAACATATTTTAACCAGCTTCCTATTATTATAAAATTTATTTAAACAAAAGCAAGACGACATCCTCAGCGTGACCTCAGCACAGCTCCATACACTTCAGTGGAACACTTTGAGCTCATACAAGCTAAGGAATTGGACCACAAATTAGCAAGTTATATGATCTTTGATGAAGAAGGTGGAGGCCACCTTTTAAGACTAGGAACCTTCATTGTGTCTATTCACACAACACAGACAACTCATTGATTATTTTTTTAACCCCCCCAAAAAATGTGCCCTTTGGTTTTAAAATTAGCAGATTAGATCAAGCTCTAAAACATGTAAACTCCTCCCCACACCTACACTATAAGAAAACATCGATGTAGTTGAGTGCTACAGGAAACATTGCACAAAAAAAGGATACAACAAGAAAGGATACACTCTGCATGACAGTATTACTGCAGTATTTACGCAGGAATGTTTCTAAAGAAGAACAGCAGAATGTGGTTTAATTTTACTTGATTCTCAGTATTGCATACACATAACTTTATGCTACCTATCAAAAGCAAATACGCCTCTGATAAAATACAGTTTTAATTCCTTATGAGATTTAATGAGAGCTGATGAGTCCACCAACAAACTCCATTTCAAAAGTAAATACATTTTTTGATAACTTGAACTACTAGGACAACATCAGGTTTTTCTGCCTCATTAATTCTCCTTCAAGTCTTTGCCATTTTACAGACTCACTTTTTCCATGAGGTCCAAAACCCAATCATGTTTCCATTCAATGCTGGCTTTCGAGTCACTTCTTTCCTATGAAGAAGCTAAGACCTCTCAATATCAGTTTCTTCTACATAATCTTTCTGCCAAAAAGCTGTATTTTAGCTACAGAAAAAATAGTCACCCCAAATACTAACTGAAATTTTTGCTAGTCCATCAAGAGAAAGACATTTCAGCCAGCAAGGAGTTACACAGTACTTTTATAAACCATATGTATTATTTTCTCTACAAAAGATAAAATCTTTCTAGAGAAAATACTAAAAAATAATAAAACATTTATAGTAATATTAATTAACACAGTTTCTTCCTGTTTAAAAATAAACAAAAGTTTAACTTCTGTCAATTTAGTTGTTAAAACATTGAGACACAAGATACAGATGAAATCTGCACTAACTTGTTTATATGCATATTTATGTTTCAAATGAGATTGACACTGTTCTTCCTCACAGACTCAGATTTCTACCATGGAATTTTGTATCATAAATCAGCATCCAACAGGAAAATATAGTCATGCAGAAATAGGGTTCGGTTTCATCATTAGTTGGGAAGAGAAATAAATATATTCAATTAAATCTTATGGATCTCTAGCAATCTGCATTAGTCTATGGCGCATTCTGGGACCTTTATGTATAAACAGTCAAAGTAAGGAAGAAGTTCTGCCCACGATACATGAAACCAATGACATCAAGGTAACTCATGTAAGACTTTCAGGTGCACAAATAAGTCTTGCATAAGTACATGTTTGCTCACTCCAAATAAAACTTGGTCAACTGAGTTGACCATCAACATGATTTATAACCAAATAGGCACCTCATTATTTCCTTTCTGTAATTCAAGTATTGTTCAGCATGTTTACTGAAGTCAGAATTCGATTTAACGTACAAAATTAGTTGGAAAGACATGGAATTCCTAAAAGAAGAAAAGGGTTCAGATTTCATTTATAAGGCTTTCGAATAGCTAAAATACATCGTTTCTCTTTTGCATTTAAAGAAACCTTAGTAATGTTGTTCTTACTAGACACTGGATAAAATAATATAAATAAAGGTTTTTTTCTAACAAGGAAGGAGTAAGAAACAAGGCTGGAACATTCTCATAAACCCTTGTTCCTAAAAGAATCCTTTAATCAAGGCTCATTTTTCTCTTTTTCAATGACCAATATGTAAGAATGCCTGTAAAAAAGTGATCTTTAATTTGATAAATAAAATAAAGATTTTGCAAACCATAAATCCATAACTCTAAACAGGAACTGGTAAGACAAAATAGCATCTCAAAAACGAGGGAAACAAGCTCAAATATAATCTGATAAAAAAAATCCTTAGATAAGTGACAGAACAAGAAACCCACAATTGAAGTAACTGTTACAGAGATATTATCCTCACAATGACCATATTGCAGGGTCTCCAATCAATTTTTAAAAATCAAAACCAGCTGTTCACATCCTTTATTTCAAACTTCAGGGTTTTTCCCAAAGTAACAATGATCAAAACATCCAGATTAAAAACACGTCAAGGAGTAAGTAGACTGTTTCAGAAGCATTCAGCTTAAGCTTTGAGTTCATTTGGTCTTAGGTGAAGGCATAACCAGAATGATGCCCAACTGTAATCTGTAATTAAGTTAAATGTCCTTTAAATGTAAGCTAGCTGATGTATCAGAGGGTGCAGATTGAGAAATAAATGCTTCTAATTCTTGCACCTGTTACTTCACATGCTAATTTGAGACAGTTCACTGTTTTTAGGCCATGAAAACCACCACAGTTAAATCAGACCTGATTTTGGTTAAGTTACCCTCATACAAAGCAAATATTTGAGTAAGCAGTAGTGGAGTAAAAGTATATCATAGGAAATAAAGTTAAATAGTGATTAGTTTCTGCTAAAAGTTACTTTCCCATCAAGTTTAGACAATAATGCCAAAAATCAGGACCTATGCGTTCCACAACATGTAAGCTTTGATCAATCCAACATTAAGTAGCACTTTCTGACACAATATACTTTCTTAAATCAGGCAAGGTTCAAGGACGCTGCAACAGTGCTAAGATCTCATTTTCTGAAGTTAGCAAAGCCAAAGTTCCTTTACAGAGATAGCAGAAGTGAGTTTATTGCTGGAAACAGTTCTTCAGGATCACTTTACATCAGCAGGGATGGAAGGGAAGGAGATAAGAGGCAAACTTTTTTCAAAGCCAAAACCCTAGAAGATTACTAAAAGGTAAGTGGTCAGATTCCAGAGTTAATTCTCCCCAGATTAAGGATTAGAGAAGCTGGCAACTATCCTAGGATATCAGAATTAGGGAAATGACAGTCTCTTGAGTTTGTGAACAGAGGAAGAAGTAATATTTTAAACTTACACCAACTATATACCTTGCATTCTGGTTTTCTGATATAAGTGCACACTTAAGAAAATTGTTTGGAACATTTCCCATACCACAACTTCTAAGGCAGCCATTAAAAAGATAATAAATAAAACCAAACAAAAAACCTGAACAAAACAAATGAACAAAAAACCTCAGCCTATTTCTTTATTTTTATTTTCAGGCAGAGAATCCATACCTTGTGCAGTGTTCTACTTTTTTCTTTTCCCTTCATTGGCATCCTGTTTTGGTCTAGCTGAACGAGCAAATTGCTGAGATTCTGTTAAGGACTAAAAGTGTCAATGATATACAGAAGCCAGTCAAGAAGGAAAAAAGAAGTATTATCTCAGCAAAAGATAGTTTAAAAAGTGGTCTTTATCTGTGAATCAATTCTACTACAGTATTAAACAGTATAACAGTAGTGTCTATTAGCTAAAGATTAGGACCTCACTGATCTGCAGTATTAAAAAATTTTAAGTTTGACCAAGAGCTTACAAAACTAAGTAAATAAGGAGGACTAACAGGGAATGGGTTAGGTGCAAACAGGATAACTACAGCAGGATAAATGCTTGACATTTACAATCATCCATCCCAGCATGTTAATTCCATAAGTTCGGATGTCTTAGCAGGTATTTGGGAGGAAAAAAGCTAAAAGGAAGAGAGGTTGGGGTGAACATGATTACAAAGAAAAGGAAATAAACTATGAAATATTTAAGTGAAAAATAAGAAAGGACAGGAAGAGATTTGAAATTATAGACAGAAAACAGGGCAATGCAATTGAACAGCGTAGAAATCCCAACACGCTACTCGGGCCCCAAAAGTAACTGACAGTTCCAGCTGGAGAAGCAAGTATAGATATAGACCAATGACCCTGACAGGAACATTTCTTTATGTTCTCAATTCTGCAAACACCACCTCAACCAAGCCAAAAAGCCTACTTAATTAAATACAATGGTCATACAATCTGCACTATCTTTTGTATTGTGTTTAGAGGATCAAAGAGCTAAGACCGGAGAAGTCAGTTTTATTGTCTGACATAAAGCATATTTAATTCCCTATTTCAGAAGGGGTGCCTCTATATATTTTTCAGTTATCATACAATTAACAATAGTACATTATGCTATGCTGTCTGGTTTTCTCAAGGTATTTCCTCTTTCCATAGATTTATAATAAGCAGAACACTACAACAACAAAACTAGAGACTGACGGACAGATGACAAAGAACATAATGTAAATGTTTGAAGAAAAAGATACAACCACCATGGGTTTTTCAAATAAGACGTATCCATTCACTTCTTTTAAAGCTTTAGCAGCTGCTTTTTCATTAGGAAGCCCAATGAAAGCCTGTCCCTTCATACGGCCTTCTTTCATCAAACGTATATCAAACCTAGAGGCAAAATGGAGAATTGGGAATTACTCATGTTTAACCACACTTTCGTATTTCACAGTACAAATATCATTCTCATGCTTCAGGTTGGAGAAAGAGCAGAAATGGGAGCAGAGCCTACAAGCAGGAAATATGTCATTAGAGACCATTTTTCCTAGGGGAACCATTTAGTAAAAAGTGACATTAGACTACAGGACGTCAAATTGGTGTGTCAAACTGCAGTAAATATGACATATGCAAAATGATCAGATACACACAATCACATACACTGTTCATTCTGTGTCAATCAGACAATACAGTAAATTTTGTAACAAAAACATAAGGGCAAAATATCAGTGTCTTTAGAGACTGTTAAAAAAATAATTCTATTTCTGTACTTGTGATAAATGAAGATTTTTCAGATGAAATGCATTTTTTCTTTATGCAGAAGCATAAAGAAAAAAGATGACTATTTTTTAAAATCATAATTTTCACTAGTATTACAGAAGTTAACATAAAAGGCTTATTTTTAACCACGTATCAAATTAACTTACATATTTCGTTCCACTTCTGACTGGAAGTCAACATATCTTCCAAAAATGAACTTGAGATCCTGAAATTAAAGGACAAGTGTAAGAGGAAAACTGATAAAAAGCCCTTTTGATAAATATTTGATTTGCTTGTTTACCTACCTTTTCTTGAACTTGTTTAGCTAAATTCTTCACATATATCCTGCAGTTTGGATCACCTGGCTCATAGTTTTTGAAAACAGAAAACTTTTCCATTTCTTAAAGACAGAAAAACAGACAATGTTTTAGGTTATTTAATTACTTTGTATTTTTGCTCAGTATAAAATAATTTATTCAATTAATAAAGTAAATACTTATTCAAACTATGTGTTGCAACAAATCAAAGAGTTACCAATAGATAATTTATTCTGTTATACCTTCTCTAGAAAGCCTGTTTTTTTCTAGATCCCTTCTAGAAATAAATTCTGATGGTATTTCATCCTCCTCCTCTTCAGTTTCCATTTTATTATTTGAGCTAGGAGCTGGAAAAATCCTTCCAAAGCCTGTATTATTGATTTCTTCTGTGCTTGCATAAAGGTCTGAAATTTCAACACATCATATAAGTGGATTGTATGTTTATTCACAAGAGGATCAACAGCAAGCAAAAAAGTATATTCCTTTGAGTAACAGTTTAATATAGTAGACTTTGTAAAGCAATTTGAACACATCCTTAAAGAAATTTGTCTTCATCTCTGGTTTGATCAACACACCTGCTCTACGTGGTCCTATAAAGTCAACCCTACTACAAATAGAAGTCATGGTACGTGCCAGTTAAGGTAAAACTAGCCTTGCTGCTCAAGCCTGTATCCATTGCAATGGTTACTAATTTTCATTCAAAGAAACTGTATAATACTGTAACGTCCCAAGAAACACAGACTGACTATAACCCTGTAAGAAACCACCACACCTCATTGCTATTATTGCCCAGCATTTTTATAGTAGGTAATCAGTGCATCACAGAGAAGGAGCTGGCAACCACCTAAACGCTGCTCTCTAAGAGCTGGAAAAGGAAAATCTGAAATTAGCCTGAAACATTCAGTTACACTGCATAATACTGAGAACGCATTTGTAACACATTTGCTAAAAGCATCTTAACATTGAAAAGAGTGCAATTCACCATAAACACACAGAACACACAGGAGAGAAAGAGACCTTTAAACTCCTCTAGATCCTTTACTGCAGCAAAGCACAGAGTTCTGTGCTTTAACATGGGAAAAACAGCAAATGCAGACAGGAGGCAAGTTGGTGTTCTTAAACCCTGATGTATACTATTTATCGAAGCTCCGATACAAAAGAAAAGAATTCCCTGGCCTAAATTTTAGCAGCCTTCTACGCACTGAAACCACAAGAATTTAATATTAAATACATCTGAAGTACGAACTCTTACCATTTTTTTCGTCCTTTTCCGAGTTTATCTGAAGAACAGCTGGGATGTCAGTAGTAATGTGGAACTCGATTTTTTTATGACCTACATGTTGTGGCTGCTCAAACACATCTGAAGGTGACAGTGTAGGGTGCAAATTACTGTTTAAAACAACCACACATTAATTAAAGAGTCAGACCCTGATGAATGCATAGTCAAATACAAGATTTCTTCCAGAGAGATTTTATGGTGTTTACCATAAATATGAGTTCTCCATCTCATAAATTTCACCCAATATAGTTCAAGTTGACTAAAACACTGCAAACAGAGTAGATATGGCTGGCAGTGAGAGCAAAAACAAGAATTACAAGTCACATCACAGTATAGACAAGCACTTATGAAAAACTTCATCAGTCACCTAAATACGAAAAATAACTGGCCTTGCTGCTGCTCTCACACAGTGTATATAACATATCAAGTTTTCAAAATATATACCAAATCACTTGGAGGAAGAAGGCTATTAGTAAAAATGCATTCACAGCTGATCATCGCTACACAGAAATACTACACTGGTGTCCACTGTGCCACAGCACTGTGGTTCCAAAAATCAAAATTATTTAAAACCAAACCAGTTTTTATTCTTCCAGTATCATTCTTTTTTCCTAATTATTTTAAATGTTAATTTTAAGAAGTATCTGAAACAATAAATTCAGATTTCTTCTGTCATGGCTGTGATATGAAATTGTTTTTCTTTTTTATAAAAAAGGAATTTTTATTAGCTTGATAGCAAGAGAAACACAGAGCTTGAACCAGGCACATTTTACAGATCAAGGTTGTTAAGCAGATTTGAGTTCAAATTACATGAAAATTTAGACCTTTAGAGCAATAAAAGCAAGCACAAGGATAAGGGAAGACTACTATCAGTGAAGAATGCTTGTTTTAAAACAGCAACACTAAAGTAAACATGATAGAGAGAACATAATTTAGTAAAAGAAATAATAACCTGAAAAAGTGCAAAAAACACAGAAATAATACAAACCTGTGGGGAGTACACATAGGAACATTCAGTAAGTCTTTAATTCTTTGCTTTTTTCTGACACCACGTCTCTTCGTGTTTATTGGTCTTTTAGGCTGAAGGGTTGCTAATTCCATCAACTTGGTCATTCTATTTTAAACAAAATTTAAAAAAAGAACTAAAGTGGTTTACAGTTTATTTAAAAATACTCATTTTGAAAACCCTTCCCCTTCTCTTAAAGCCCTTGAAATACAACTTCTCAGAATATGGTTATAAATCTAGCTACCTTAAGACTGGAACTACATTAATAAACTATAATACATAGCAAATTGATCTACACAGAGCACTTCAGTGATCCATCAAAGTTGTAAAGAGTTCAATGATGTCTCTTCCTTCTCTAAGCACGCAGCTGATTAGGACACTGAAGCTGCAGAAACGCTAAGAAGCCCCAAACTGAAACATTTTTTACAATACTATTTCCACTCAACAGGAGTGCCTTCTTCCAAATGCATGTATTTTTCTGAATATAGCATAGGAACTTTCAGATTTATTTTCAGTTTAAACAGTAAATAAAGAAAATTGCTTCTTCATTTACTATTACTTTAAAGATTAAAAAAACAGCTATGATGCAATTGAGTCCCAAAACTACAAGAGAATCCTCAGCACACACAACCTCCCATATTATTACTCCCTGCACCACACACTGATGTTGAAAGAATATTTTGGAAGTCAGAGTGCAAATATGAGTCAGGCTGAGTAGTTTACTCCGTAAAGATATGGAAAAATGAAGACTCCAGAAAACAAACTAATTATTGCTTCCTTATATGTGCACTTTCTCTTCATTCTGCATTTTTGTTTTGTTGGGTTTTTGGTTTTTCGGATGTGAGAACAAATGATAATTTGCATAGCATGTGGCCATTTTCCTTCTCTTACTGTGATTCAAAACAGCACTGTTTTTCCATTTTTTTAGTCACTCTGGAGCTGCCTTAAGCATCTGGAAAGACTATCTATATACTGCAAATGTTAACAGATGCCATCATTTACTCAACTAGAAGCTAGAAAAATAAACCCCCCACTTTAAAAGAGCCCAAAAGGTTGTAAATAACTGTAAAATGCATACCTCTCCTTTTCCTCCTCATTATCACTTTCATATTCTGATTCATCTCCACTAGATAGTTGCTCTTCTTCCTCTTCTGGCAAAGGAGGCTCTTCAGGAGGCAGAGGTGGGACTGGGGGAGGTGGCACAGGCACTGGTAAATACTCTTCATACTAATTACAGGAAAAAAGTTTAAAAAGTAACTAAACATTTTAGGAAAAAAAATGTGTATCTTGTTTTCCTTTACATAATAAAAACACTCAAAGCAATAAATTAGAAGATGACAAGACGTATTTTTTAAAGTATGTTTATTGGGATCTATATGCTATTTTGCTAAATTACATTGTTAATGAAAACTTTCCACAAGAAAAAATAATTGCTGCCTTCTGAAGTGTAACAGTGAATGTTTTCATTCTTTTAATTTGAAGAGTTAAAAAAAAATTGCAACCACAGCCCTGGGTTTTTTCTTTGCACTCAGCTTTAAGGACTTTCCTGAGAGGAATGTGGACAAAACATGTGGGAGGAGGCCTAAGCTCTCAAGCCATCTCTGTTTCTACACTGAACCTTCCACCATCTATCAAAGTTACATTTCTATTTCTGTAAGGACTGAGGATTTCATGACAGGAATTTTTTTTCTCTGAGGCTGTAAAAACCACATATAAGGAATTCTCTATGTACAACATCATCTTCAGCCCCACTTTCAACAATCTTACTATACTTAAAAGCTACTTTTATCTACCATCAGTTCCACAGGGCACTGATGACTTCTGGCATTAGAAACACTCTGTGCCCTTTAGAAACTGCTCTAGGAATTTCAAGGACTGGCTTCTCACCTTACTACTCTTTTTTGCATGACCATTAAATTCATAGTGCTTAACCTGGCCCAATACCAGGCAACAAATAAAATTATTCCCAGAAAATCAGTGTTAATTAATCTGATAGATTTATTTCATAGTTTTCTTTACCAGCTAGCTTCCTTGTTAGTAGAAGCAGGTGTTGTATGGGCAAACACAATGTGTAGTGGAGCACAACTTCACTATTTCCAAATACTGCAGCTATCACTATTAATGTAAGTCCTCATTTGCTCTAACTTCCACTGGCAGTCAGATAAACTACTCTATCACAGCAACAGAGACCTGAGACCACAGCAGGTATTTCTATTTCGCTTCAGAAACAGCCTCCCCTAAGCCTCTGTCAGTTTCCCTCAACCCTGCCTCTTTCAAAAAAGATCCTGGAGACGGAGCAAGTTAAAAGATGAAAGTGCTGTATAATCTCATTAACAATCTGAATCTCATCAGACGTCCAAAGAAACACATGGATCAAAGAACTTAACATATCTTTGTAAGGCAACAGGCTAAAGGTATCTTTATTTCCGGTATCTGTAACATGATGCTATCATCTCCCTTTTTTTAATACTCAACAGTTTGAAATATTCCCGTGCTACTGTCGTACATTGTTATTTCTTTGTTCTAAACATAGTCAAAAAGATTTCTGTAGAAGACCAATATGCACATCCTACCCAATGAAATGAAGCAGTATTTGCTATCCTCTACAGATTTCTCCAACTTTGAGAAGTTTGAACTCAGATCTCCTACCATGTTGCTAACATTTTACATTGTGAATCCATTTTACAATATCTAATACATATATTAAAAAAGTTACCATGGGAGGGCGAGCGGTAATTGGTCCAAAAGGTGGTGGAAGATTCATTTTATTCATAAGATGAAGTACCTGAAATGATTCAAGTAAGATTCCCTTTAAATAAAGAGATGAAAATAGTTCCTTGCTACGTATCTCAGCCAATAACTTCTAGCAGGTGTAAATCAGCATAGTTTTAATGAGGACACAACTACATTAAACAATGTGAAAGCCTGCACTTGAGATCCAACACTAATGGTAAATAAGAAAAAGACTAATCAAAAAAAGTAAAGCGTCTTCTCAGCATTAAATTCCAAGTACTCAAGTCACATCTAATTAGGAAGATCATATCCAGTCAAGTCTTCAATGTTAATGAAGTAACAGTTACTTCTGGTCAATGACATCTTATTATCTCAACATAGTAAAAAATTAACATTGATTAACACTATCACAGGAAAACTAACTTGATATTTACTACGACAAAAATTATTTCTGTGGATAATTCAGACGAAAAAGATGATGTACTTTTTTTTACTGTTTTATACTTACCTGAACATAAAATTTGGGCACACTTGCCAAGGCATTTGCTATATTTGCTAGAATTGTACTTGAAGGCGGTGGATACAAATACTTGAGACAAGAATTGATGGGAAAGGTGAGGCTAAGGAAAAAAGATTAAAAACAGGAATCTTAGCACCATTGTCATATAATGACTGATAACAATTAATGATTACTGGAGGTTTAACTATTCACTACATATGAAGTATCGCTGAAATATTATTTTCCCTAGAACAGTTTTGAGACACTTACATTATGACTTTCACACCAGCGAGCAGTCCCCTAAAGCATGACGCTTACTGAGCTTTGGTACAATGAAAATACCAACAACTACAGCGCACAGAAACAATCAACATGTCCAAAACCAAAAGCACAACACAGCATGCTCTATAAACACCACAAACTCAATGCTCAAAGTGCTGGATTTATTAGTCCAAAAATAAATTTATTCATGTATGCAAAAAAGCGAAAGGGGGAAAGAAGAACAAGCAACTTTTGGAAAAACAGAAGTCAACAGTATTCTGCTGTTAACACTGAGACAACCTACTCAGTCCTCAAACTCTTCCTGAGAAAGCAATGCATTGTGCTACAAGGCTATTATGCAATCCACAACTTCACAGCTCAAAGCACCAGTTGCTACTCAACTGTGAAGGTTCTAAATTTGAAGAACTAAAATTTCATCTTCATGACAATTCCTACAGCCATGCATGTAGAACAGTAGCGTACTATAAAACAAAATGAGAGAATGCGGCATACTGCATCCTCTCTCATTCATCAGTGCATAACTCTTATTTCAAAATAAACTGTACCAGAATAAAACAACCAAGATCAAGAAAACCTACTAACCCATGGTTGGGTGCAATTCCATTCTCTATTTTAACACAGTTTGGTTCTTTTTTCTCTTCTTCTTTCACTGGTTCTTCTAAACTGAAAAATAATTATAACAGGGCAAAATTTAAGTCCCTTACATAATGTATTAAAAATGTTTAATCTCCTATATTAAAAAATAAGAAATAAATTAGTATGGCATTGTTAACATCTTTTATCAACAGCATTACTACAGCCATTATTAATTCTTATGAATTAATGCATGTGGACAGTTACAATAGCCAGACTTCTAAGGCATACATAAACATTAAGCAGATTGAAGTAAGTCTTCCTACATTTAAACACTTCTGACTAAATGTACTCACAGGAAAAGAAGTAAAATTATTTCATGTTGGTCTCTGTTCAGAGACAGCATAAAATCAAAGGTATTAAATTACTGATTTGTTCGTATTCAGAGACTGGAATAAATAACTTAAAACCCCTACAGTTGATATTAAATAAGCACTATCACATAGTTCTTATCAGTTACATATTACACAGGTAAACATGACAGTCTAACTACGCAATTTATTTTTTTTAATTAAGTATCTGACAGACAATTGAAAGCCAAACTATCAGTTCTTGGTCACAGTAATGTTAGGATTCACTGATTTTTTTTTTTTTTTTTTTTTTTTAAATATTACATATTCTTTAACTATTTGAAGAGAGACTTGGGAGAGTATTGTTAGTTCTGCTCACTGCTCATGCTTCAAGCCAGATACACTGAAATCAGCTCCAGCTAAGAAGCCAGTGGCTATAACAGTACAGTCTTACACAGTTATGCTAGCGTGTGTCAATTCCACCTGACTCTTGATTCAATGGGAAAGAAACATCAGGAAAGCACTGCATGCACTGTTTAACAGTAAAAGAAAATTATAATTCTAACACACAAAAAAGTAGAAGCATTTTTTTAAACACAGGGAACCTGTGCAACAAAGAGGTCAGCTTACACAGACTGGAGGCTTGCTCGGTAAATGAGAACAAACAGAACCATCTGCTCATTGAAGATATTAATAACTACAAGGATAAGGATGGGAATTATGCCACAATGATATACTGAATTAAACAATATTAATGGAAAGAATATAGGCACTCATCTGTAGATCTGAACTTGTCTGTTAACACTTCTAAATGGTTAGGATTTATCGTTTGACTTCACAGTACTACGAAAGCATCATGAATATGGAATTTCCCTTCCTTGACTATAAACATAGAGACTACATTATTATCCACATACCTCTTACACTTCTCTGAGACAGAAGGCTGGCTAAGTACCTGCACACTATCTTGCTCCTTCGCAAATTCAACAACTAAGGTGTGACCTAAAAGTTTCAGCTGATGCAGTCTTGACAAAGCCTTCAAATAATTATGATGGAGAAAAGAAAGAAAGAGGAAAAACATCAGAATTATTTCAAAGCATAACTATTTTTTCTTTGCTTGGCAAACTAGCCATAGGATGCAGCCCCAATTGCTTTAAGCTGAGTTTGTGCCACTACAGAGACAGGTAGTTCTGCACCATTCCTGCCTTCACAGCCCTGCTTTTAGCAGCCTCTTTCCTGCCAGCAGGCAGGAAAGCCACGAGGTTGCACAAACAGAACCATTGCAGAGACTTAGGTCATCTGAACACAGTAGCGAGACTGCACCCTTAACAGTGATACTTACTAGATAGCCTAGTAAGTATCTGTGACTTTAAGTAACCAACCTCTTGCTCATGAACTACAAACATGCTGAAGCCCAGTAGTGATAGCTGGGAATTTTAAAATCAAGATTCTTAACAGTGACACTAGGAAGTCCCAGCATTCTGCAAGTCCAGATCCTGATAAGCTGATAACAACTGACACAAAGCAACTGAAATTTACCACTGTTGACCTCACATAGTGTTTGTAACTTTTTTGAGTTACAAAAGCATGGCCTTATAGAAAGCTTTACAGCATGGCCTAAAAAAAAAAGGAGAAAGTAACACCAAAATAGATTCCAGAGCATAAGAGGGAAATTCAGGACACAGACTTTTTATCAGATTCATATGTAAAAAGCATTATTAGTATTACCTTTTTGGCATCCATGTCCCCCATTAACATAGTAGTTTTCTTTTTTTTATCAAAGTTGGGCATTCAAGGCAGTCTTGAATTGCGCACATCGCTATGTCTGAATTTTATGGCAAAGATGTGATTATGCAGGAGACAAGTAAATTATGTTTGGTTTATAGTTTATAGATAAATGCACACACACCCTAGACAAGGCCCTGAGCAGTCTCAACTCAGCAAGTTTGCCATGCTCTGAGTGACAGGTTGGATCAGAAGACTTCCACAAGGCGCTTCCAACCCACCTTTCTTATGACTCTACAGAAGTGTTCATTTTATCAAATCCTTCAAGCGCCTCCTGAAACAGAACTTTAATATTAGATTGCTCAGTTGTTTTTTTTCTCTGTCAATACTGAGTACTGATGATGTGTAAAACACTTTAGAGCACAAGTAGCAATTCAGAAAAGTGCTTTGCTATAACATTCTATAACAAACACAATACAAACCTTCACAGCTGCGTTTTCACTGGGAAAGGTAGCAAAAGCAGTATGTTTCTAGAAAACAAACAAACAAAAATTGTCATACTGAATTCACATCAAAGAGGTAAGAAATTGTATGTAAACATATATCCACAAGTAATCCATAAGTTCAAGTTTACAAACTTGAAAGCTTCCAGATAGTATTCCATCTACCTTCCATGTGGGGCAAAGGTGAAGGACTAGAGAACATTTTTCTTAAGAATTTAGGACAAGCACCTTCAGCATTCAAAAATTAAGATTGGAGCGCAACATTTTCAGGAATACAAGAAAACAGTATTTTTTTTTTCTAGCGAGCAAAAGCCATTCTAAACTGCAAGCAAGTACGAATTGATAGTTTAATATTCTCTTCAAAGAAAGGAAATCTACTTCAGCGCCTCTCAGCAGAACAGCTTCATCGAAGCAACTCCTAAAAGTCATAATTTTCCTGCTACAAAATTCATAATTATTGTTGTGCTCTGAAAATTTGGATGGTTTCTACTAACATTTTCCCTCAGTTTTTAAGTTTAAAAAACCCTTAAGGTTTCCAAATTAAATAAAATCCTCACAGGACAAACAGTTCATCTTAAACTTAGATCAAAGACCTGTGAAACTGCATCCCTACACCTACCAACTGACTCTTCATCGCTTTTCCACGGCCTTACTCCTAACAACATGAGAGGCCAAAGCTGCGTCC